ACGTTCTTTTCTTCTGTGTATTTGCTCTTCGGATGGCATCTATCTTTTATTTTTTATGGAAAACAGAACAATTGAGAAATGCTGTAATACTTTATATGTTTAAAAAAAACTTCAAAACATCCTATGATAATTTATCAACTAGGAAAAGGTTCATTGATTTCTTATATATCAGTTAATTCTGAGCTTTAATAGAAAAATCCCTTTAAATCCAATATTTACTACTATTAAATTGGTTCATTTATTACATTTAGAAATCCCTAGGTGTTTCAACTGTTTTAATATAGACAGCTTGTTTTTTAAAACAACTTACTTTTTTGTGATTTAAAAAACATTTTTTTAAAACAGTGGACTAGCTTTGAGATACAGATAAAGATTACTTTCTTCATATATGAAATCCACTAGTTTTTCTAGGAAATGTAGTAATTAAATCTATTTTTAAGAATGACAGTAAATAGTAACCAATTAGAAAAAGTGCTATGATATTGCCATATAAACAATGTGACATAGTTGTTTATGAATTTATCTATAACCTAGAAATTTATAAGCCAAAACTAATTTTGCAAACATCCTTCCTTCACACACACACCTTACTTTTTTAAAAGGATCTGATATGCTTCTAAGTACTAACTTGTTCTATAAGGTACTATACTAATACTAATCTTAAAATGAGTATGGTTTATTTTACATTTATTTCTTCTCAACCTTCATATCTATAAGATTTTTTATATTTTTTTGAAGAACAATAAGTTCATTTTCATGTAAAATTGGTGTATAATGAGGACTTTGGCTTCTAGTAAATTTACACACTGTATATTCTGAAAAAAAGTCCCATTGACAACCTAAATGTACCATAAATTACAAAAAGGTGTATTTCATTGAATTTTTAAATTTGAAAAGGATAATGGAGAAACTGTAAATCCAAAATAAATTAAAAAACAGAAAGTCAAAAAAAAATAGGATGTGAAAGCCGAAATCAGAATTTCTCTTAGTGACAATTAACAATACCTATGTTGTTTAGCCCTGGAGATTAATAGCCCCATGCCTTCTTGAAATCATATTATCTTCCAAGATGTATACTGTCCTCCACTTTCTATTAGGAGCAAATGCAAAGCTTCTCTTTCTTAATCTAGGCTCCTGGAAATGCTTGTAAATTAATTATGAGCTAAATAAATAAACAGCAAAAAGAAACAACAAGAAAATGGCCTAACAGAAGTGAAATTCAACAGAAACAATGATTTGCTCATTTAGGTTCTCTCATTTACTTCAGCAATTGGAATTTTCAGATACAGAATATTAAAATACTATATATGAGGGATGTTAAATTAAGCAAGAAGCATTCTATTATCATCCCTCATTTTGCATTATTACTTAATATTGCATAAGAAATAAACAAAGAAATAACAAAAGAACAAAAAAAAACAATAGCAATAATCCTAATATATTTGACTAGTCAGATATGAAAATATAACCAAAATATTTTTAACAGAAATTTATATCAATGAATTGATAACTCAATTGCTACCTTAACAGATGACTGATAGAGCTGAAGAGGGAATTATACACTTGAGAACTGAAGCCCTAAACCAGCATGTAGCACAGAGATACATAGAAATTAAAAATATGAAAGTTAAAAAGACATAAAGATAGAATGAAAGAAGATATTTCACATATCTAAGAAAATTCCATGTGAGAAGAATGTAAAATATAAAGCTGAGGCACTACTGAATAAATTATCATTTTCCAAAACTGATGAAAGACAGGAGTCATCAAATTCTGCAATAAAAGTATCCTAAGCAGAATTTACAGAGTGAAATTTATATCTAGGTTTATTATAATGAATTTATTTTTACATGAATTCCTATATTAAAATGCACATAAAGTTAACACTATTATTTATCTCAAATCATTCAAAAATAAAATCATTATATAATATTAATATGATTTTGAAAAGTTAGTTGCATAGTTGCTATAACTTTGGGATCTGAAATCCATTAGAAATTCATGCTCCAGGTCAGAAGTCAGCAAACTATGCTTGCTACTGGCTGCCTTTTTTAAAAACAAACTTTTATTCTAATACAGCCATGCAATTCATGTGTTGCTTGTGGCTGCTTATGAGTACAAAAAGCAGAGTTGAATAGTTACAACAAAGACTACATGGCCTAGAAAGCCTAAATTATTTATTATCTATCCTTTTAAGATAAAGTCAACTGACCTCTGCTCTAGATAAAGTCTATTCGAGTAATTCTCCTGAGAGAAAAAATATCACGTTTAAGTATATCATTTAACAGATAAAGCCCTAATTTAATAATGATCTTCAAGAAATTATATCAGTGCTATAAGAAATGTCAACATGATTATTAAAGGAAGAGGAATATAAAGAAAACCTAAGACAGGGGAGGAAGATTTGTACAGAGTTCTCAGTGAGGAGGCCTTGAGTGATCAGAAACACTGGGATATTCAACTCCTAGAGGAGAACAAAGGGTATTCTATCAGAAAAGGCAAACTGTAGCAAATGACTCTTGTATCTCATGGGTTAATTCAAATATAAATATTATTTTTTACATTCTGATGGTGTTAGTAAGACTGGTGGCTCAGATCATTGCAGACATTCTGAGAGCCAGGTTCTCTTCGTGGGTGGTTCTGCGACACCCTGGGGCCTCAGATGGAGAAGATAGCACATTGTGGCTTTTATAGTCTAGGCTTATAAATATCCTAAACTAAAAACTTGGTCTTAATATTTTCAGATAATTTAAGCACTTCATAAGCCAACCAGGTTTTAAGAGAAAGAATTTTTTTTTTTTAAGTAGTAGAAACTTAATTCATATAAATACTTTCCTATAAAAATAATCTAGGAAATATTTTTTAAGTTCCCTGTCTATGTTTCTTACCTCAAGCAATTATTATTTTCATGTACTTATATAGTTTTAAAGTATATATACTAATAATTATGCATTTTTAATGCTACGGTTCATAGAAATATAGGTTTAGCAATGCAAATGAAAGCATATAGTGTAATTGATGTTTAAAATTTTAAACAATCATACATGTTATATCACAAAAGTATTAAAAGAATGTGAATGAAAGTTCTACCAAAAATTTTTACAATGTTTTCAAATGCAAGGTGCTTTGTAGCCTCTGTTTTTTATATTCAAATTAATGTTATTGAATTCAATGCTCCATTTTTGAACACATGAGTTATATGTATTTAATTTTGCCAACATAAAATATAATCTTTTTTGTGCTTTATGAGTCATTCTTTTTGTACAGTATCCTTAGTGGGGTATAATTCTTTGCAAATAGTCTTTAGTCACAATCTATATTGTAAACAGAATTTGAACATATGGCTCGAAATGAATGATGGAATTAATTTAAAATATCTCAGATATTTTCAAAGATGAATATTTGCAACGTAGAAATACCTATGGAAAACTGGAGAAATAACACTTATGAGGCAAAAAGAAAGAGATGTGTTGAGGAACGGAATGAAATTTACTATAGTAGTTTTTGCCTAACTGTATCTTATTTTACAGAATAAATGTGATCCTCAAAATGTGGAAAATTACTTTTAAAAATCAAGTCTTAGCTTAGATATATTAGTCAAACCTACTTTTAAGAGAAAATGTGTGTGTAAGTATATGCTTATGAGTATGTATTTGCTTAGTGCTTTGTATCTAGTCAAAGTGGGTAAAAATACAGCTTTAGGAAAAGCCAATAAAGGCTTTCTGTGTATCTAAAAATCAAAAATTCCAAATCTGAACCTTAAAACAGTTTTTATAAAGCTTATTTATGAAAGCACTTGTATATTGACATTGACATGGAAGTGACATGCCACCTAGATGATGAGGATGGTGTTGGGAGACATTTTCATAGGATTTTAATATCTAGAGTACAAGCTATACAGGGCCAAGTATTGTTCTATATTTCAATCACTGAAATGTCTCAAGTCTCTAGGATAATACCTCATACATAGTGAGACTCAATAAACATTTGTTGAATGAAGGGACAGTTTGTAAATAATCACCCTGCTTATGTTTTAGATCATAAAAATGGGAATGTGGCAGTTGTAATTTACTCATCTGAGTCAGGTGGTGGCAAAAGCCTAATATATCAGTTCCTAAGGCAATGATATTGTCCTTAAATAAATTATTTTACTATTAAGTCCTATATCAATGATAAAAGTAAACACCAACCAAGATTATATAATTTCCAGCTAAACATCTTATATTCTTATATTCTATGTACCTTCTTACTCAAATCATTCTGACTTACAAAGAATTTTTACATGGGGTAGATAAGGCATTATTAATTTTATTACAAAGATTTATTTATCCATTCAATAAATATTTAGTAAATGCTTTTTTTCAGCAGTATGCTAAGCAGTAAGGGCATGATTGCATACACACGACTGCCATAGTCACTGGCCCATGGACATTTCCTCTTGTGACAGAAACAAATAAACAAATAAACACATGAACAAAATTAATTTGTCTTATGATAAGTGATTTGAACAAAATAAATGGAAATGGGAGTTTGGGAATTGAATGAATTTGTAATTTTAGTTCTCAGGGGAGGCAATTTTGATGAGAGAACATTTCAACTGAGATCTTTAAGTTGCAAGTTCAGCTTAAAAAGAGACTTTCTCAGTTGGATAGGTTCTAAAATATCTCCAAAGGCAGGAATATATGCCACTGAGAAGAGAGAAGGAGAGAGGCTACTATACCTCTGACATATAATAATCAGTAGAGTTGGAAATGCTTGCGTCTGAAAGTTACTGTCCATTTACCAAAATGGAAACATTTCTATTCTATAAAATAATTATGAGCACCCATATTTTTTAATATTGTTCAACCAATGTTTGGGATGTTAAAAAAACTGCCTAATATAAACAAAGAAATAGAATTTTGTTAATACCCAAACAAATGCAGTATAATTATATATATTAAGTTTTGACTATATTTCTATTTTTTATTTGATTTCTTTATTTTATACATGTTTCCCAGGATAGTCCACTGGTCTTACAGTCTGACAGGAATGTAACAGTGAATGCAAGAAATCACATGGGGCAGTTAACTGGACAGCTGACAGTAGGTGAGTGTTTGGGGGCAAAATCGCTTGTATCATCTTACTCCATTTAAATCTTTGTGGTTGTTTAAATTAGGAAAAGTAAAAGTATATATAATATATAACTAGACATCCCATACAGCCCAATTATCTTGCACATGATTTGATTCGTCATGAAGCTAGTTATGGTTTCCTCTGTTTGGAAGCTGTTACTCTTGTCGAATGTGTTATTATGGGACTGAATTACATATATTGTAATTACATATTTGGCTGTTATTACATTTGAATTATAAAATGCACAATTTTCTCAACAAGTATCTCCTTACTATATATTAAATTATAGTAAACAGGCTTGAACAAACATATGAGATATAACCTTATGTGGTCTACGTATTTATTTTAGGCAAATAATTTACTAATAAATGTTATTTGCTTATATAAATTAGAAATTATAGTAGTCAAATATAATAAATCTTAACATTTATGAATTATTTATAAATTGATGTTGAATTACCTATACTTTAAGGTTTATAGGCTTTAGAAGTTCTAAGTTAATGATAAATTATTCATGTTTTATTATATTGTAAAAAAATTTTAATATAGAGATTCATATTACATGACATTATTATTTGATTTAATTTTTGTAAGAAAGCAAATTAAAAATCAGTTGTAATTATGTAAAATAATACAATGATTTGATTTGTGTGTAACTGCTAAAATACTTTTAGAATACTGTATTTTTCTGTGGGGAAAATTGCCTAAAACCCAGTGATTGCGTGTGTGCATTAAAGTATATTATAAATGGTAAATTAGAATTTTGAGGATTGAGTTACCCTTATCTTAATGACAAATTTGTCATGATTTTAATGAAAATATGTTTCCAATATTTTTAACTAAGTTGCAAAAATATAGCATTTGAAATGTGAGATTAATAAACATGAGTTTGATTCTATCTACTTCTTTTGTAGGTATTTGAACTTTTTGATATGCTATTTATTTGAATGAAGCTAAAATTGAAACTTATATTTTAGCATATATGTATTTCCAAAATATATAGTTTTTTAATTTACAGTAATTAAATTTTATTTTACATATTCTTTAAAGCATAGGAGTCGGTCAGTAGACATCTATTACTATAACTAGATAGTATTTTGTGATATGTAGAAATTACAAATGGGAGCAATGCGCAAATATATTAAAAATTAGAGAAAAGAAAGATATTTATAGATACAGAAATGATCCAGAAGTACCAGACACTCAATGCAAATGACCATGCCAATTCACAATTGTTATATTTGTACTGCAGAAACAGGCCTAAACTGGCAGATTTTCCATATTATATTTCTTAATATTGAGAATGCTTTAGCTAGATAAAACTTTATTTTGTATTGTTCTTGATTTAAAAAAAAAAAAAAGAAAGAAAAAGAAATGGTTCTTTGTGGAAATGCCAAAATGTAAATTAAACACACAGTGACATATACCAGTCTCCACTGTAATACAATAGCTACATAACTATTACCGGTAGAGCAAAGCAACTGTTTAGATTATATGGAGTGTAATCAAATACCATTTGTATTTTGCTGCATACTTTTCTGCAGGAAATAGAAAAAAATAATAGTATCGTGCTCGTATTTTCAGCCATTGTTCCAAACTGATTTTAATAAAGTATCGAGATTTGCCAATTGAGGAAAAGAGAAGGATAAATGAAGAAAAAGAGAAAAAAAGAGTGGTTGGGGGAAGAAAGGTTATGCTTAGTTTTAAATGAAGCAAATCAACGAATTAATGGTGTAGCAGTTTATTTCTATGGATGGAAATATATTCCTTCGAGTGAGGCTAAAACTAAAAACTATTTAACATCCTGGCCTTCTGGGTGTGCTGTTGGTGAACTTCATCTTTCTACTGCTTTGTATTTTTCAATAAACGTACAGAGAACAAAAGGAGACATAGATAAAGGGGACTGGGGAAAGAATAATGCAGTCACATTTGGAATCCAACTATACAAGACTCCAAAAAAAAAATTAGTTCTTAGAGACTCAGTTTTCTCATCTCTAAAATAGAGATGACACTATTTCGAATAATATAAGAAGCGGGGCAATTTCAGTGTCTGCAAATGGTAGGCAACTATATTTTGAATATGTTATTATTTTGATGATGGTGATTATAGATATTAGTTACAAATACATTGCTATTACTTGAAAAATCTTATAATTTTCTATCCAATGTATCTCTGTAATAGCTGTGGAATGTACGCTGGATTATGATTGTAGATATAGTACAAAACATCACAGAAAGTGTATCTGATGTGAGGAAAATTTTTGAATCATGTCAGGATAAAATTATCTTTAGGTAGAACTTGAAGAGATAATAGGATGAACTCAAGCAATGTATTCAATCAGTATTCATTTTTAAAGATTAATTTTAGTCGCATTGACATAAAGTAGCTGCTTTAACTCTTTTCCTATTGACTTTTTTTCTTTAATTCTTTAATTTTTGTTTAGGGGCATAGTCTTGATTACAGTATAAATATAATACTATTTTGCAACTTTTAAAAATAAACTACCAAAAATGAACTATTTATGAAAAAATATTTTTTATTTTCTGAGTAAAAAAATTCTAATTTTTATCCTAAATCTTTCAATTACTAATAGAAAGTATAACAAACTTTAAATATTTTTCCACATTTTATTCTCATTAAATATTGGAAAATGAAATAAAACATCCCTTACCAGTAGCTACCTGTACCATTTTTTTCCTCAAAATTATATATAAGATTGATCAGCAAAGCAAATATCCATTGTTCTTGCATCCTGACATTCTGTTATTCTATTCTATATTCTATAGGATATGTGTAATCAAAGGCATGAGCAGACCAGGTGTGTGAATACGAAACCAGATTATTTCTACTTCGATAAATGCAAAGAAAATATTTTAAACATATGCCAGCTCAAACATAATCAAAATTAAATCTAAACATTTTTAGACTTTGGATAAAAAAAATCAATTGACAAATATTTTTGTATGCTTATAAAGTTCCAGGCTTTATGTTGAATTTCTGTTAATATCAGATTACCTCCCTCACAACAAAGTTTAAGATTCCAATTTTTCATGAGGGGATTAATGAATTCAAAATTTCTTTATACAAATTCTTCTTCTTAGAATAAAGCTGAAATCGAAGAATGAGGTTGTTGTTGAGAAGTGGTTAAAGAAAGTACACGATCCCAAGAGGTCAGATGCCTTGCGGTAAAAACAAGAACTTTCGTAAACACGTCTGAGAACCATTACCCAGATCGAAATTTCTGTTTTTCAATCTATAACGACTATGTTAGGAGGGCATTCCTTTTTTTATATAATTGACAAAAACGATGTGTGGTTTTAGGTGTTATGTGTTCATAAGTGTTGATAGTATGATATTTTATATTTTTCGGGACACTTTCATCAATTATTATGGATGAAAGATGTGAATTATGCACCATTTTTGTTAAGCTGATCATATTATCTTAGGAAACTGCTACAATGTGATTACAGAATAAAAGTCATTTCTTAGGGCAGTGCAGATGAAATATTATCATGCAGTTTTGATACAGACTTTACTCATAATACTGATAATAATGATAATGCTATAGTAATTGGATTTGCTAAAAATGTAATGATCCTTTTCACAATTTCATGGGGATAATCAGTTATCTTTTATTTACCAATAACATTACATTGATTTATAATAGAATAAGATTTAAAATACCTTTATAAGTAATTTTAGAAATATGTTAATCTTATAAAAATGATCGTTCTTTAATAACTCAGCCAACTCTATTAAATTATTAAATTATATGTTGCTTATTTTTACATTACAATATAAATTATTGTTTATTTTAACAAAGCAATGGCTAAAAGGTAATAGAATTTTTTCTGTCTCATATGCCTTTTGTTATCGGTCTATAGCTGGAGAATAAAAATAAAATGAGGATAAGCTGAAAATTGAATATGAAATAATATTAATGGGTAAGGCTAGTTTTGATTGTAATTAATTTTGGTCAGTAGCCTTCTTATTTAAATTTCAGTCACAGACAATATTGTTTGAGAAACCTTGAATGATTGCTATGTGGTCCTGTGTTGCCACATCTATATCATTATCCCAGTGAAATATTAAGACTAATTGGGTATTAAGTAATTGGAATGTCATTGTTCTGAAATTTTACTTTTAAAATGTGCTTAAAGTCACAATCTTATACTTAAAATGAGATATCATATTTCATCATAATTCTCCTTGTTTAATGCTCAATAAATTGGGAGAATGAATTAACTGCAAGGAACTGCTAGCTAATTGTCAGAACAATTTACTCATAGTTGATAATCTCATTTCCATTTATCAGAAATCAGAGACATAATTATATTATATAAAAACCTCAATTACAATTTATAATGCCTCATTGTTCTCTTTCTTCACTAATTCTTCAATGCTTCAAAATTGTTCAAACTAATTCTTAAATAAGTGTAACTATATAGTAGTAAGAAAGAAAGTCACTGGTAAGAAATTAAACACAGTACTATTTATATTTGCTACTAGTTTTCTTTTCATGTTTTATATTTTTAGGATTAAAAAACACATAATATTGAAAACAAGTATAGACATCTGCTGTTGGAGAGTTGACTGGTTTCTTCTGTGGTCTGAGGAGCTTGGTTCATTGCCCTGGGGATTTCTGAGAGAGCCAGTCATGGAGTGGGAATAATAAGCAGCAGATGGGCCAGAGCAGAGGCGTCAGTACTGGCCCTTTGCCTTTTCCGGGACCTGTCATTCAGCCACACACTTAAAAATCAAATTTGTTTTATTTATGACTAGAAAAGATGTGTTTAATAACAAAAATTATACATTAAGATTCTATAAGGAACATATTTTTTTTTGGCTTGTTTTCTTCTCATTTCGAGTCAATATACAAGAATAATACAGTCTACAGAATGAAACAAACATTTTTAAAAGATAGTAAGTTTATAAGGAGAGAAAAAATGTATGAATATATAAAATTACATTA